CGATCACATTTCTTTCTGGTCTCTTAATAGAGGGTCATGCTTCTAATGTAAATGCTCTTCTTTTATAGATTGTTGGTGCAGAAAATCCGGTTTTGATATCTGCGGCTGAGCAAATCTTCAGTGCTGGTGGCAAGAGGATGAGACCGGGTTTGGTATTCCTTGTATCACGAGCCACTGCGGAATTAGCTGGCTTAAAGTAATCTATATAACTGTCATTACTATTACATCTTTGACCTCGAAACTGCGCATAATCTTTAGCAATAAAAATGATGGTTTCTAGCTGATCTTGGTGCAGGGAACTTACAGTAGAACATCGGCGTTTAGGTGAGATCATTGAGATGATTCACACCGCAAGTTTGATACACGATGATGTGTTAGACGAAAGTGATATGCGAAGAGGTAAGACAAAAGTTTCATTCTTTTGATCGGAATATGCATTTTCTCTGCAAAGGTTTAAGCTTTCTGTGTGTGTTTGTTAGGAAAAGAAACGGTTCACGAGCTTTTCGGAACAAGAGTAGCTGTATTAGCTGGAGATTTCATGTTTGCTCAAGCATCATGGTACTTAGCAAATCTCGAAAACCTCCAAGTCATTAAGCTCATAAGTCAGGTAAAATTCTTTTCTGAGATTAGAAGAAACTACATAATACAAAGAAAATTTGGTCTGAATCTTGATTTATCATTTTCAGGTAATCAAAGATTTTGCAAGCGGTGAGATAAAGCAAGCATCAAGTTTATTCGATTGTGATGTCGAGCTTGATGACTACTTGCTAAAGAGTTACTACAAGACAGCTTCATTAGTAGCTGCAAGCACCAAAGGAGCTGCAATTTTCAGTAAAGTCGAAAGCGAGGTCGCAGAGCAAATGTATCAGTTCGGAAAGAATCTCGGTTTATCTTTTCAAGTAGTTGATGACATTCTGGACTTCACTCAATCCACAGAGCAGTTAGGGAAACCTGCAGCTAATGACTTAGCCAAAGGTAACATAACAGCGCCAGTGATCTTCGCACTAGAGAATGAGCCGAGGCTAAGAGAGATCATTGAGTCTGAGTTTTGTGAGCCTGGATCGCTTGAAGAAGCGATTGAAATAGTTAGAAATCGCGGTGGGATCAAGAAAGCTCAAGAATTGGCTAAGGAGAAAGGTGAGCTTGCGTTAAAGAATCTGAATTGTCTTCCGAGAAGTGGTTTCAGATCGGCTCTTGAGGATATGGTGATGTTTAATCTTGAAAGGATTGATTAGCTTCAAAGGGTATTTGGCAGAGGAAACTGTAACACTCTTTACTTGTTTCAAACTTCAAACACAGATTTTTTTTTACTGTATGTCACAAAGGAAAATCATGCTTATTATTGCAAAATAAAAGTAACTCATATATTTAGATACATGTGAATGGAGCTAATTGTTTATAGAAATCGATCTGTGATAACATTCTATACATCTTTGTACTGAATAGTGAAAACTAATTAACAGTATTTTTTAAAAAGTTTTTCGTTAAAATTTTAGAAATGAAGTTTGGTAATATTGATAAGTTTGCTAATAATTATTTGGAATTTTTTATAATTATTTAGTTAGTTAGATTTAAGTTTGGTTTTGATTGAATTTCTTTAGCTAACTAAAAATGAAACATAAATTTTCTGAAACGAATAAATTAATAAATTGTGGTTTCAATTCTAGAATGTTTGTCTGGACCGAATTACCTAAACAAATCAAACAAATAAGAAATATAAATGCAAAAACATCTGATCTTGATGTGTCTCGCCAACCATTTCTATTATGTTTTATCTTCATTGATTCTTTTTCAAAAAAACATTAGATTAGGTTTTTTTTTTTTTTTTTTGGACAAACTATTAGATTAGATTAGCTAAAGCATGTTTTGCTAATTATTTTGTCGAGATTCAACATAAATATGGTCATTATCTCACGTGGCATTTTCTTTTGCACCAGATTTTTTTTGTAGTAAAGTTGAAATTTGACAGAAAAAACCAAAATCCTCTCTTATGTGTGTGAGGACTAAAGGGGAATTAAAAGATACAAATGAAATTAATTATGTTAAAAGTATAAACTAAATCAGGTGGGGGGTGAACAATCCCTCAGAGCAATATCATGACCATCAAGAAATCTTATGAAATTTATAGATTTGAATCTGTTTCTTATATACAAAAACACCCAAATAAGATTTCTTGACAGGATTCAAACTGCATTTACCACTAGACACCTTCAAGGTTCTGTTTTGTTGATGAACAAAAAAGAAAGGAAGCACCTTTACATTTTTTCTTCTTCTTCTACCTCCTAAACTTTTCGGATGATCAAATGAGCTCCATGTTGTGGAAATGTAGTTGCAGCTGGGAAAGGAGCATGAGTATACGATGGAGAGAGCTCTACACTGAACCTTTGAAGTACCATTGCCAAGAAGAGTTTAGCTTGCAACATGGAAAAGTTTTGACCGATACAAGTCCGAGGGCCCGAGCTAAATGGCAAGAAGGAGAGTCTTCCTTTGGTTGCACCCGCCACGCCATTAACGAATCTCTCGGGCTTAAACTGTTTCACATCGTCTCCCCAAAGGTCAGGATCATGGTGCACCAAGAGCATTGGTATTGTGACCACAACTCCTTCGGGTAAAGAGAATCTCTCTAACTTCACTTCTTGTTTAGTTATCCGACATGTGAAGTAAGCTGGTGAATAGAGCCTTAGAACTTCATGGAGGATCATTGTTACCTAATGATGATGGCCCAAATTCAAAAGAAAAGAATAAGCTATAAAGACTTTTATAATGTGTTTTTTTTTAGTAGGTTTTGAAAATGTCTACTTACAACTTTCAGGTGGCTTAACCCTTCGAAATCTGGCTCGTTGTTACCGAAGGCCTGAGAAACCTCGTCTCTTGCTTTGTTTTGCCAATCTTGATGTTGGCTTAGAGCAACAAGTGTCCAAACAAACAATGAAGAAGTGACATTTTGACCAGCTAGATAGAAAGCCTTACAGTCATCTATCAGGTCATCAAGACTCAGCCCTGAATCTGGTCCTTGTTCTTTGATGGTTTTTGTATTCGAAGCCAACATGGAGAACAACAAGTCGCTGTTTTTGTCGGTACCTCTTCCTCTTTTTATCTCCTCCTCTTTAGTCACAATCATAGCTTTAAACATAGCCCTCATGTCCCTTTCGAATCTCTCAACCTCCTGTTGAACTTTGTTGGCAAAAATCTGCAAATGACAAATCCAAAAAGACATGAAAAATAGAATCAGCAAAATTAGCTTTCCACTTATATTAAACTCAGTTGATTTTAGACAATTTATTTACTTTGATCCAGGAATGTAGACGGCACGAATAGCGAGGAGACCAAGATCGATCTGCTCTTGTTGGATTTCGAAGATCTTGATACCATCTTTGTAGGAATCACCAAAAGAAGCACGAGCAAGCATGTTTCTGGTTAAGTCATGACAGTGAGTCCATGAATCAAGTTCCACTGTTCCTTTTGCTGAAGCTAATTTCTCCCATTCTTCTAACATCTCTTTGCAACTCGAGTTGAATGCTGGTAGTATGCTCTGTTCATTTTTTGGTAAATATTATTATACCATTTCAAAAGTAAATAAATGATTTATTGCTAATTATTTGCTCATAATGTTTTTGTTAATGATAATGAGTGCACTGCAAATGTGAGGTTTCTAGTACACTGATAATGAAATGATAAATTCTTTTTGTCGAAATAAAGTAGTAGTATTATAAATTCTTGATTTGAAAAATTCGATTTCACCTTTTTGTAATGTGTCTTTTTGGCCTTTTCTGTTTTTTCGCTTTTAGACTTTTATAGTTGGTGACTTGGTGGCGTGGCGTGGATTCTTTAGTTCTTTGGGGACTTTTTTTTTTTTTTTTTTCTCTGTTTGTCTTTTTTCTTTAAATACCTTATTTATTTTTATTTTTCTTCCTTTCGGGTAGAGTAATATATTTTTTGTCTAAGAGACTTCATTTAATTTTTTTCTGTTTATCTTGAAAAGAAATTAATTTTTTAAAAAATCGTTAATATGTGATTTTTTTATATATAATTATTGTTTAAATCTCTCAGCTACGAAACAAGTGAAAAGACGTTACTTATCTGACTTTCTTTTCGAAAAAAAAGTAGTAGAAGAGAAAATGAAACTGACCAAAATCTAAAGAATGAGACGAAAATGACGTCCACAAAGTTCAAATTATGTCAGAGTTAAAAAATCAATTATAAGAACACAAAATATAATTATTAGAGTCAAAATGAGCATGCCATATTCATTACCTTTTTTTTTGGTAAAAGAAAAACATACCTTCAAATTATCGATACGAAAAGCAGGATTAAGAATGCTTCGATGCTTGGACCATTTAGGACCTTCGTGATTGAGAAGACCACTGAGAAAAACATGATTATGTGACCCAATCTTTGGTTTCGGAAAGAGTTCGTGTTTTGACATAATCTCTCGTAGTGTCTCTGGATCCATTACTATCACGTTCGGGTACGGTCCGTACCATGTGAAACACTTCTTCCCTGTTTAAACATATACTAATTAATTATTACCATTTGTTACTTTAAATAACCAAATGAAACAAAACAAAGCACATACAGTACAACAATAATCTATATATATATATATATATATCAGACAAAGTTGTTTTGTTATGATCCGCTAAGAGTGTTTTCATTTTATTTTTATGCATGTGAACTAGATTTAGACGAAACCAGGAAAGCAAAGGATATCAGATTTAGATCTTAATTATGAAAATGTGTATCATTCTAATCTGTATACACAATTAACTCTTTTTTTTCTTCATATAAATACTTTGAAAATGATTAAAAAGTCATGATGAAGAAGATGACCTACTCCTAGTCAAAATTAGAAATAATCGTTATGAATCTAACCCAAGATTTATCAAATATATAACTGGCCGGTTCTTGTTAGATTCACATTTCTTTCAAGTAATAACATAAACCGCTAATTAAAACAATTGATAATTAAGTTTAGGTTGCTGGAATCATACCATGTTTTAGAACAGTGTGGTGGAGAAAAGGCATCATGCGAGGGAGAAAATCGGCGTCGAGAGGAAGAGGAAGAGAGTGAGCAACTTGATCCATCTGATTACTCTCTCTCATATCTCCCATCAAAATCCTATAAGAATTCCCAGAAAATCCTTGTTTCTTCAGATATTTCTCTAGTCTCTTTGGCCTTAACCAAACCCAATTCACAGCTCTCCATACCCAATTCAGAATCAAGATCAAGAATCCGATCAAGAACACTTTTCTTACTATATTAATCTCCATCATCTTGATCTATCTATGAAGAAGGGAGGAGCTAGAAAGTAAAGGAAAAGAAAAAAAGGAGACAAAACTATAATGATGATGCTTATAATTTCATCAGTTGACTATATATGTTGGAGGCAGCTGTATATCTATATATATATATATATATGCGTGAATAGAAAAAAAAAAAAAAATACTGTAGAAAAGAAATGTGATAAAACTAGTTTATAGAGGGACTATAGAGAGAGAGGATATATATGTAATAAATCGCTGTATGTGCAACTGGCAATGAATTTATAACAACAAGTTCTTAATTTGGTGTATATTTCCAAAAATTTAATTTTGTCTTCCTTCCCTTACGCTACATGCATGTGGCTTTATTGCATGAGAGTATTTAGAAGTATATATCATTTTTTATATACATACATATATCTACTAGTATATGATGATGATTGATGATGCTTCCATAATTAATTACTTTCTTACGCATTTTTTGTTTGCGTCTTCGTATCGTAGTTATCTATAAAAAGGTAGAGAAAGGGGAGTTCGTCGTCTCACCTTAATTTAAAAAAATTCAATAAATGTGTTTCTATTTAATAATTGACATATAACTCTCGAAATCAACCTTAACATTTACGTAACTAAGACAATAATCACACGATTAAATTAAGTTTAAATTGGAGACAATAAATATGGAACCAGGTGGCGTTGTTCTTTGGAGACGATGAATAGCAATGTCAACTCTCTTACAAAACGCATGTGATATATAATATAATAATAATGCGAAAGATAATGTTCGTCCAACCATATCAATTAATTTTAAGTTTAATAAATATATAAATGCAATTACGCGTAGAGACTAGGGTCATTAGGCATTTACTAAAGTTTCCACCTAGGACAAAATAGACCTAACGGCTACGGGCGTTGTTGGTTAATTATTATATTGGTATAACGTAAGCTTATTTGATTAGCTAGTAATTAATTGTTTTGTTCAACAACAAGAAATTTAATAGACTAGGCCTCGAGATTTTTTTTTTTTTTTTTTTTTTTTTTTTTTTTTTTTTTTTGGTCGCGAAGCTAAAACATATCCCTTATTTATCTATCCGACGTATTCATTTACTTCCTTATTTTTTTTTGCTGATATTACTACCTGAAACTTATTTTATATAAATAGAAGATACGAAACATATATCATAGTTTTTTTTTTTTTTTGCGCTAAAGAAAAATATATAATAGTTAAAAATGGATAAAAGTAAAAAATTAAGTCTAGCCATGGTTAAGGAAATAAATTGCAGTATTATTCAACCAATGTGTGCAATTAAATGACGAAATATACACAATTTCTTAATTATGTATGATATTAATATACATGTTTGCAAGTATGCTAAAAATATATATTTATACATGTTTGTAATTGTATACACATTTAGCTATTTATCAATGGTCTCAATAATGTAACAAGAATGGTACATTTTAGGCTAATAGTGAACCCATTCCAAGGAAAATAGTTTCAAAATTATGAGATATGACGTCAAAACCTACGTAACATTTTTGAAAAATCAACTAGAAAAGTCCGAGTCGTAGTCTCACAACCGACTTTTCTTTGTTATAACTTATAAAAAGGTGGGACGTTTCTTTATGTGTTGTTGTACTCTTAATATCCCAAATTTATGTGATTTGTACAAGAAATAAGGGGATTTGTTGTATTTATTCCAGAAAGAATATAATAATGGTTCTATGTTGCAAAAAGAAAAGTTGGTTAGTTATAGAAAACAAAGTGTTCCTAAAATCTCTGGACTTTGACATACATATTACTGTGTGAACCATTTTTTTTTTTTTGACTTTTTATCAAAAGAAAAAGATTATAATTTAAATAGAAAATAATCAAATCACTATTCATGCAAAAATATATAATCAACTAGTATGAAATTGGACCTTTAACACACACAAAAAAGAGTATGAAATTGGAATAAGAAAATAGAACAAGAGATCATTTTTGTTTAAAGAACATCAAACACAACAAGATAAATATCTAAGTAATATGGAAAAAGACCGTCTGTTATTAAAATACAAAAAATTGTTACTTTTAGTAAGTATATGGATTGAAGACTCAAAACTCCACCATATAATGGAATCTACGTTTTCTTAACATAATTTCTTATAAACATGCACCAATTTTAGTTTTTGGATTAACTTTTCTTTTGGTTATACCGAGAAATTGAGTTAACCTTGTAAGCTATTTGTTTTGGTTTTCCAAAACTGAGTGTAATGGTAATTAGATAACAAAACTCATATTTCCCTGAAAAGATCAACTTTTGCGTTTTACTATAACAAATGCGATAAAACGACATAAGGTTGGCCACATGCCCACATCATAGGAGTCCAAAATGAAGATTGAAGAAGATGAGGTCACGTGAGACGGTAAGAGTTACAAAAATTAGATGTGAGTACCAAGTTTACAAATATATGGGCTCTGGTTTACAAATAAATGGGCCTTTCTTATTTAAAAAGCCCAAGACGGTGAATCCTTTCTCTCCGATAATACACTGCGACGTCGGCGATTTGCCAAAATCCGAAAACCTCAAATTGTTCGATTTCGTTCTTCTCTGATATTTTGGAAACTTTGAGGAGTTTCGGATCTAGTTTCGTCGCCATGGACGAGTATCAAGAGATGGAGAGATTTAGTATGGATAATGACTACGAAGGAGGTCGATGGGAAGGTGACGAGTTCGTATACGAAAAGAGGAAGGAGAAGCGGAAGCAAACCAAAAACGACGCTACTTATGGAATCTTCGCTGAGAGCGATTCGGATTCCGATGATTCTGGCGGCGGCGGCAGTCGTAGGAAGAGGCGTAAGGATCGTGATTCGGGAAGGAATGCCGACTTAACCAAGCCTGTCAATTTTGTATCTACAGGTACTGTTATGCCTAATCAAGAGATTGATAAGGGTTCTAGAGAACATAATGATGAGAAAGATAGGGATAGAATCGAAGATGGTGATATGATTGATGAGGATGTTGAAGTTAGAGGTGGATTGGGTATGGGAAGCTCAGGTTTAGGGTTAGGGTTTAATGCGAATGGTTTTGATGATGAGGACAATCTCTTACCGGGTGCATTGGGGAAGAAGATAGCTGATGGGGCAAAGATGAGAGGGAAGGCCAAAATGGAGAAGAGAGGTCAAGAGGGTGGTGGTGCAAAGGGAGGAAAGAAGAATACCTTAGGAAGTGATATAGGTAAGTTTGAGAAATCTACTAAAGGAATAGGTATGAAACTGCTTGAAAAGATGGGGTATAAGGGAGGTGGGCTTGGGAAGAATCAGCAAGGTATTGTAGCTCCAATTGAAGCGCAGTTGAGGCCGAAGAATATGGGTATGGGGTATAATGATTTCAAGGAAGCAAAGTTGCCTCATTTAAAGAAGGTTGAGGAGAAGAAGATTGTTGGGGTCAGTGTTAGTGAGAATGAACAGAGTCATGGTGATAGAGGAGGGAAAAATCTTTGGAAGAAGAAGAAGGTGAGGAAGGCAGTTTATGTCACTGCAGAGGAGTTGTTGGAGAAGAAGCAGGAACAGGGCTTTGGTGGTGGGCAGACCATTATTGATATGCGAGGACCACAAGTTCGGGTTGTGACAAATTTGGAAAATTTAGATGCAGAGGAGAAAGCAAAAGAAGCAGATGTTCCAATGCCGGAGTTACAACACAACTTGCGCTTGATTGTTGATCTAGTTGAGCATGAAATTCAAAAGATTGATAGGGACTTGAGGAATGAGAGAGAATCAGCCTTATGCTTACAGCAGGAGAAGGAGATGCTTGTAAATGAGGAAGAGAAACAAAAAAGACACTTAGACAACATGGAATATATCACAGATGAAATTAGTCGAATTGAGCTGGAAAATACAGCTGGGAATTTGACACTGGACTCACTTGCAAATCGTTTTGAGGACCTTCAAGCATGCTATCCTGATGATTATAAGCTTTGTAACTTGTCCACCATTGCTTGCTCACTGGCCTTGCCTCTCTTTATTAGGATGTTTCAGGGTTGGGACCCTCTTAGGGATCCAGTGCATGGTCTCAAGGCTATATCTTCTTGGAGAAAGCTTTTGGAAGTCGAGGAAGATCAAAATATCTGGGTAGTTTCAACGCCTTATAGCCAACTAGTCTCGGAGGTAGTGTTACCTGCTGTTCGAATAGCAGGCATTAATACCTGGGAACCTAGAGACCCTGAGCCGATGCTTAGATTTTTAGAGACATGGGAAAATTTGCTGCCTTCATCTGTCTTGCATACGATTTTGGACACAGTAGTGCTGCCAAAATTGTCAACTGCTGTTGAATATTGGGATCCACGAAGGGAACTTGTTGCCATCCATGTTTGGGTGCATCCTTGGTTGCCAATACTTGGTGAGAAGTTGGAGTTTCTTTATCAGATCATTCAGATGAAATTGAGTAATGTTCTTGATGCTTGGCATCCCAGTGATTCATCTGCGTACACTATTCTTTCCCCATGGAAGACCGTTTTTGATACTTCAAGCTGGGAACAGCTTATGCGCCGTTACATAGTTCCCAAACTTCAGCTGGCTTTGCAAGAGTTTCAGATAAACCCGGCAAACCAGAATTTAGAACGGTTCCATTGGGTTATGAAGTGGGCATCTGCAGTACCCATACATATAATGGCTGATTTGATGGGGAGGTTCTTCTTCCCCAAATGGCTGGATGTGTTGTACCTTTGGTTGCGTTCTAATCCGGGGTTCGAAGAGATCCACGGATGGTATTTAGGTTGGAAAGAGTTATTCCCGCAAGAGCTTTCAGCAAATGAGAGGATCCGAATTCAGTTAAAGCGTGGTTTAGATATGTTGATGGAAGCTGTTGAAGGAGTTGAAGTGTCTCAGCCAAGGGCAAGGGCAAATGAGCATACACAGTTCGAGCCGTCTCAGGCTCAAGCTCAGGCCAAGGCTCAGATGGATAGCACTGAGGTGCTGAGTTTGAAAGAAGTGTTGGAAGTATTTGCTCAAGAGAAGGAGTTGCTGTTCAAACCTAAACCGAATAGAATGCACAATGGTCTTCAGATATATGGGTTTGGGAATGTGAGTGTTATTATAGACTCAGTGAACCAGAAGCTGTTGGCTCAGAAAGATGGAGATTGGTATCTTGTAACTCCTGATGACTTATTAAGGATGCACAACAATACAACTGTTTCTGGAAAAAGATAGATTTCGTTTCATTTTGTATGTTTTCTGATGTATAAACCATCTTCAATCTCATCACATTTTGTCTCTCTATCTAAATTTCATATCTTTGACTTTGACTTCTTCTTATTTAGATTAAAAAAACTCAAATAATATTTGTGAAGTTTACACCTTTTTTCTTGTTCTTCATATAGTAGTAGAAAAAGGAAGTAGATAATACAACACAAGATAAAGAAACCTATACAAACGTTTTGAGAGTAACACACAAGATGATTGATCGATCCATCACCAGTCGTCTGCTCCTTTAGATACACCCAGAATCACAGCTATTGTTGCAAGAATAGCCTGCAATGTTTACACATGAATCACTTAAATTTGTTCGAGTCCCATTTGGATATAAAGGAAAAACGTGAGATAAGGAGAAAGAGAGAGAGTATAGGAAATATTACAGCGATAGTGCAGGCAATGTATCCTGGTTTCTCCCTGTAATCGATCCTTCTTCCAAACATCATGATGAACAAACCGACATACCAAGGGATTGCTCCAAGGAAAAATCCAACAATGAACCTTCAAGAAGCCAAATATTTTCTCAGGGATATAACACGAACGAGTAAGATATCGGCTTGACTTGTAGGACGTGTTAAAAAAAGCAAGTGTAGATAGTGTAGCACGCATGTGAAGAGAGAGGGTGATTCAGAGAATTCTGAGCTTGTGTTTGAAGGAAGAAAAAGAAGGAACTTACAGGAACCATCCCAGACCAATTCCACAGCAAGGAAGGCGGCGTTGTCTCCCAGTGACAGGTCTTCCTTCAGCAACACCACCATGGACTGAAAATAAAACAATTAAGAAAGAGTAAACATAAGAACAGCTGAAAGGACATCCATTTATGCTCATGACTTGGATTTGAACAAGAAGAAGAGACAATGAGACACAACAGAAGTTAACTTACAGATTATATAAAGCACAAAACCAATACAACCTAACTATTTACTGAGCTCAAAACTTCTCATCATGGGTTGTTCTTTTAAAATCTCAGAGGGTTATTATGTAACATAGCACAAATCAAGTTAGATTTTCACATATAGATCCTTTCCCTAACATGCAATAACGAAAAAAGGTTTCACCTTTCAATAGAAAACTCCTGATTATGTTACACTGTAACAACATTTTGATTAAAACAAAGAACAAACACAAAATTAGTTTCTCTTGCTAAACAAAACACGACCCAATGATCAAATCAGAATCTTAAGACGACAATTCAATGATCACCATCAACTTTACAAAAATCAAAAGACCTAAGTTTCACAAATCTGCAAAAAAAAAAATGAAATCAGCATATCCAATTCAGGAAGTGAAGCTACCTGGAACAGTTTGATAGCCATGAGCGTAATAAGGAGCTCCGGAATCGTAAACGCCAGGTGGCGGCGAAGGTTGAGGAAACCCAGTGACCGGAGCAGAATTCTGCGGCGGGGGGTAATTGGAAACACCTTGAAAGGTACCGTATTGATGATGCTGGTTACCTTCTTCCGAAGCAAATCCTTTACTTTTATCTTCTTCCCCGTGACCCATATCTTTCTCCGTGATCTGATCGCTCTTTCTGATTCAATCGAGAGATTGAAAATTTGCAAAGTCTCGTTGAATCAAATGAAGAAGAAGTCTTTTTTTTTTTCAAACTTTTAATTATTTGCTGGCAGACCCGAGATAACGCGTATTTTCAAAATTGGCCCGGAGTTATTATTATATGCATTTACAACCACCGACTGCAATGTTTGACATTAATACGATTGCTATTTTTATAAATAAAGTTATGAATTTTTTTTTTTTGATTCCGCCTTCTCCACCAATGTAAAAAAAGAAAAAAAGTTATGAATTTTTTTGATTAAGAAATATGTGGTTAGGGTATAATAAATATTAAATGCATCCATCGAAGCTTCGAGTTCGTTGAAAAGATTATGAAATTAACTAATGTTCTTAATCAACCATGAATATGATTTATCACCTTCAATCAATTTTCTTATTATACGATACAATTAGGTCATGAAAAAAATAATACAGAAAAGAGAATTTATCAGTAATCTGTCACTATCCTTTTTTTTTTGAATATTCATTATTGAAAATTTCTAAATTGTCACTTTTGTCAACGATGTTGTTAAACTTTTAATTACTTTCTCTGAGTGGAAATTGTTTTCTCTTCTTCTTTCACGTCTTAGTGGAGCCTTTTATTCTCAGCCTCCAAAGAAACATAAACCTTGAAAATTAAACTGAATCAAGAAATATATTAACAATATAACTTTGAACTTTCCACAAATTTGTGCACCACCATTCAATTTATATATGTTTTTTGCAGACTGTATAATTTCTTTCATGATACACATGAAACAAAAACAAAAATCTGGATTCTGATGCATAAGATGTGGATAGATACTCTCAATCTATGGATTTTAACCATTTACAAGTAGAAAAAAATTGCAAAACATGAAGAGAGTTGTGTAATGAAATAGAAGCCAACCTTTGTTTTCAACAAGCACAAATATCCTCATGAGAGCAATCATCTTGGCCACAATCATCATCATCAATGGATCCTTGGTTACTGGAGACAGTAATGATCATTACCTTCTCATCCGGTTTAGCTTCTTCTGGTTCAATAAGATTCTTCCTGAGATCACTGAAATCCTGGTTTTCATCTTTCAAGAAGCTCGGAAGAATGGAGAAGCAAGTGAAACAAGAAAACACTATATTAATTGCAAACAAGGAGATGCAGAAGATCACGACGATACAATTGTAAGCATCCATTCTTCTTGAAAACAGAGCATGATGGTTGTTGGTTTACAAAAACCAGAATCATTCAAATGGAGAAATCAAAAGTGTTATTCACTTGAAAAGTGATATATGTGTAATATTGATTTGATTCTTTGGTCCCCTCCCCTACACAGATATATAAAAAGAAAGCTTAAATCTGAATGTTTGGTGAGCTTTACAACAACAATCTCTTATATATATAAGAAGAAAACAAAAAGGATAAAGAAAACAATATTAGTTTTTTTGGGTCTGCGGTGGAGAAGATTTTTCAACAGATAAAGGTGGCAAGCATGACAAAAGCATTTGTCTCTTTCTTTCTTTTTCCACCATATTTGTTAGCTTTTCATATATATAAGATATTATACTAGCTTTGTTAAAAAAAAGTACACATATGTAGTACTAAATCCTAAACAACTTCAAATAATAGGCAACATAATATGAAAGGGAGAGATCATCTTCTCTATTATATTTTCATATCGAGAATATTAGAATTGCAGAGTATTTGATTTTGTTATATCAGCTGCACATTTTCCATCAGAGAGTCGTCGCAATAGCATTGAAGAGATCATCACCATCTGTCTATATCAGTGAACGGTTCAGGGTTTGCGATTGACTCTGAGATTTGGAAAGAGAAGCATGACAAAAGAACATTTGTTTATAAAGATTATCTGATGACTAACGTTAGCATTCTATATGTAGCTTGAGTGTGGATTTAATAAGCTATGAAGACATTTCTTTAAAGAATTTGAAGGTTTCTTGGTTTGAAGTAAACATCAAAAAGGCATTTCTACGTACAAAACTTCATTTAAAAAGAATAGTTTGTGGCAATCCGAATTAGTAAACTATACTTGTTCATCCACTTATCTGATTCATAAATAATTTATTGCCATAAGCACACAACTTTATCATTGACTACTTGCATTATGCAATCTAGAAAGACTCAAGATTTTGCAATCTATTATAAAGAACAATTTGTATAGACAGCTATCAAATTCGAAAGCCATGAACAACCAAATATAGAATGCGAAAACACTAAAAGAATTACCTGTTTCTCTTTTTATAATCGTTGTCAACTCTTTTGGATATCAAAACTTTGCCCAATTCGTACAAGAAGAAACCTAAAATATTGTTTTAAAGACATCTCTGCATCAAAACACAATTTGACATTTGATCAAACAAGTCAACTCTTTTTTTTTAAAACATGGCAAGATGATACAAGAAAACATGTCAATGAGTTGTACAAAATACAAAAAAAAAAACAATGTAGAAAACAGAATTCAGATGAGTAAGGCATGTTGACCTGCAGCTCAGAGATGGGCAGTACTTAAGTCACATATTCAGCCATTACAGTTTTCATCATAATCCCAAATTCAAAAGCTTTAAAAATGGTTTCAAGCACTAAAATCATCCCCAGAAATGCAGAAGTTTACTAAGCAATCTACAGAATTTCTAAAGGGTTCATTATGAAGCTCTGAAAATCATTATGATTCTTCAAAGTCATGCATAAACGTTAGATATTGAAACAGAAAGCGTACTGAAAGACGAAAAGATAGCAACGATAAAAAGTGACAATGTTGCTTTAACTCATAAACCACATATATACCCGAAGAATTCTTAAACCCATCGTCTTCATTATTCCCATCGTTGAGGAGCTGCCATTGCTTCCATCATCCGAAGCCAGAGATTCGTCGATTCCTACTACACTTTGTCCTCGATGTGAACCCGTTTTACAGTCACTTTCTGTAACGGTGTATTCGCCCCCGGTTGACGCCAGGCGTTTGTTCATCTAAATCATCTTCTTCTTTGGTTGCCAAGCTAGACATGACAATACCTTGTGTGGTTTTGCCTTACAGATTCAAGTGTCCTTCCATCCGCGGCGGCAGTTCATTGTATGTAACCCCATCAACAGGCAAGTCATTGTATGAAAGGACTCCGCGTATCCTTGGGATACGATCCTGTTGGTGATCAGTTCAAAGTACTGAGCTTGGTGACTTCTCCTGACCAGTTTCTTGATTATCATTTACACGAGTTTATTACACTTGGAGGACAACAAGTATCACGCAATCAGGTTACCACCGCTCCTTATTACCCTATAACCGATGGACTTTGCATCAATGGTTCCATCTATTATGCTGCTTGGGCCCCTAAACTATGAACGGATCCGGTGATTGTGTGTTTTGATGTTAGATACGGCCCTAGGGATGTTGTGGTTTGGGAGTGTGAATCAATATTGATAGATTACAGAGGCAAGTTAGCTTCGATTTCATATTGTAAGTTTTCTGATGTATAAACCATCTTCAGTCTTGTCACATTTGGTCTCTTTGTCTTAAATTCATATCTTTGACTTCTTATATAGATAACAAAACTCAAATAAATTTTTTTGAAGTTTTACACCTTTTTCTTGTTTCTTCATAGAGTACGTAAAAAAAGGAAGTAGATGATTGAGAGTAACCCCACAAGATGATTGATCCATCACCATTCGTCTGCTCCTTTAGATACACCCAGAATCACAGCGATTGTTGCAAGAATAGCCTGCAATGTTTAGACATGAATCAATTATCAATTAAATTTGTTCAAGTTACATTTGGATATAAAGGGGGAAAGCGTGAGAGATAAGGAGAGAGAGTGTACACATGAAACAAAAAAATATCTGGATTCTGATGCATAAGATGTGATACTCTCTGAATCTCAACCATTAACAAGTAGGAATGATCAACAGAAAAATATTGCAAAACGTGAAGAGAGTTGTGTGATGAAAATAGAAGCCAACCTTTGTTTAATTCATGACAGCAATCTTGGCCACAATCATCATCATCATCATCAGTGGAGTCAGAGAATCCTTGGTTACTCGAGACTGTAATGATCATCACCTTCACATCTGGTTTAGCTTCTTCTGGTTCAATAAGATGTGATACTCTCTCTGAATCTATGGATTTAACCATTTACAAGTAGGAATGATCACAAGAAACAATTGCAAAAACATGAAGACAATTGTGTAATGAAAATAGAAGCCAACCTTTGTTTCAACTTTCAACAAGGACAAATATCATCATGAGAGCAATCATCTTGGCCACAATCATCATCAATGGATCCTTGGTTACTCGAGACTGTAATGATCATTACCTTCTCATCCGGTTTAGCTTCTTCTGGTTCAACAAGATTCTTCCTGAGATCACTGAAATCCTGGTTTTCATCTTTCATGAAGATCTGAAGAATAGAGAAGCAGGTGAAACAACAAAACACTAAATTGATTGCAAACAAGGAGATGCAGAAGATCACTTCTTGGAAACTGAGCATGATGGTTGTTGGTTTACAAAAACCAGAATCATTCAAATGGAGATTATTCACTTTTCAAGATATTGTATGTTGATATTGATTTTGATTCTCTAGTCCCCTACAACACAGATATAAGAAGAAAGTTTAAATCTGGAATGTTTGGAGAGCTTACAAAACAACAATCTCTTATAAGAAGAAAACAAAAAGGATAAAGAAAACAATATTAGTTTTTTTGGGTCTGCGGTGGAGAAGATTTTTCAACAGATAAAGGTGGCAAGCATGACAAAAGCATTTGTCTCTTTCTTTCCTTTTCCACCATATTTGTTAGCTCTTCATGTAAATAAGCTATTATGTTTTGTTAAAAAAGTACACATTACTAAATCCTAAGCAACTTCAAATAATAGGCAGCATAATATGAAACGGAGAGATAATCTTCTACTATATTTTCATATAGAGAATTGCGTTAACTAATATTGCAGAGTATTTGATATCATTATCACCTGCACATTTTCTGTTAGAGACTGGTCGCAGTAGCATCTGAAGAGATCATCACCATCTGTCTATATCAGTGAACGGTTCAGGCTTTGCGACTGACTCTGAGGTTTGAAACAGAAGCATGACAAAAAAAAAAACATTTGTTTATAAAGATTATCTGATGTTACTATATGCATGTTGAGTGTGGATTAATAACACATTAAGACATTTGTTTCAAGAATTTGAAGGTTTCTTGATTTGAAGTAAACATCAAAAAGGCATTACTACGTACAAAACTTGATTTAAAAAGAATAGTTTGTGGCGATCCGAAGTAGTAAACTAGACTTGTTCTTCCACTTATCTGACTCATAAATAATTTATCGCCATAAGCACACAACTTTATCATTGAATACTTGCATTATGTAATCTAGAAAGACTCGGTTTTGCAATCTGTTATAAAGAACAATTTGTAAAGACAGCAATTGAATTCGAAAGCCATGAACAACCAAATATAGAATAAGGAAACACTAATAAAATTACCTGTTTCCTTTTTTAATAATCGTTGTCAACTCTTCTGCTTTTGGATATCAAAACTTTGCCCAATCCGTACAAGAAGAAACCTAAAATATTGTTTTAAAGACATCTCTGCATCAAAATACAATTGACATTTGATCAAACAAGTCAACTCTATTTTAAAACATGGCAAGATGATACGAGAACATGTCAATGAGTTGAACAAAATACAAAAACAATGCAGAAAAGAGAATTCAGATGAGTAAGGCAGAGACATCACGTTGAAGCAAAGCACCACCAGCAGCTGAGAGCTGGGCAGTACTTAGTCTCATATTCAGCCATTACAGTTTTCATCATAATTCTAAATGGAGCTAAACAATACAAATTCGAAGCTTGAAAATGGTCTCAAGCTGTAAAGTAAAAAACTTTGAAATGATCTAAAGCAGTAAAGTAAAAAACTTTAAAATGATCTTAAGAAGTAAAATCATCGCCTTAAATGCGGAAGTTTACTAAGCAATCTACAAAATTTCTTACAGGGTTCACTACATTTATGCATGCCGTATAGGATTGATATATGACGCTTTGTGAATCATTATGATTCTTCAAACTCATGCATAAAGGTTAGATATTGAAACAGAAATCTTTCGAGAAAACTGAAAGACGAAAAGATAGCAACGATAAAAAGTGACAATGTTGCTTTTACTCATAAAATACAGATATACCAGGATGTCAATACACGTCTGAAATGCCAACTTTCCTTTCAGCCATTTCGTCGAACACTTGGTATGCATTTTCCACAGAGAGGAGATGATGATGATGATGACGTGGGGCAATTTCAAGAATCCCTTTTTTTGACTCGGGTAATTTAACACTTTTATTAATATAAAGATACACTGTTCATAATAGTTTTGTTGTCTCTGTACTGTTTATTACATATGATCCCTACAGCTTCGTTTATTATAATTTGACCCTTGCAGTATTTCTATATAACATAATCACCCTTTAATTAGTTTGGTTCATTTACAAATATTCCTTTTTTACTTGTGAATTTTCTTCTTAAATGTGTACCCGTGGCAATCACAAACGGTTCATACACATATCTACTATACATTTTTGCAGCAGTTTTTGGGGTCCCCAATCGGGTTGAAATATTGACCCGGAAATCTTCTCAATTTGACCCGCAATCTTGACATTCGGATCTTACCTTATTTGAGATTTTGACCCGAAATCTCTCAATCGAATCCTACCATATTTGATGCTCCCTACATTCAAGTCAAAAAGCATTTAATTTCTCATAATTGAAAGATAGGGAGAATATATATAGTTATAACAAATTGATTTCGTAAGGCAAATTGTTTCCTATTTTAATGTTACATTTATCATTTGTTTCCTACATATAATTCGATATTCATTTCACCTTATCGAAAAGGAAATTGCTTCATAACCAAAAGATTTTATCCTAATTTGTTTAAGCATCAACCTAGCATATTCTCTATATTTCCCAATTTAAAGATCTCGAATTATACGAAATGCTTGGTCATCAAGATTTTTAAATATTCTCTAAACCCAATAACATACTAACTATCCAAACTCTATAAATAGTCGTTCATTTCCACTCTCTAAACACATTCTTTCTCATTATATGTCAGGTCCTGAAGAGTAGTAACAACGGAGTCAATGTTTGATCATAAACTCACCACAAAAAAGCGACTGCCTTCTCCAAACCTTTGTTGTGTGGACGGTTTAGCTCTTCCTTGAACTTGATAGATCCATTGGGACCTCCGGTTTTCTTCTTGGCATCATAGGTTCCTGCATCATGCCATCTATATGCACACAATAATTTGCATTTGGAAAGATTAAGAAAAGAAAGGAAAACAGAGAATGATTCTGAGAGCAAAGATCTTACGCAAGACAGAGCATAATGGGAGCACAGTTTCTGGAAGAGATGAGAGCTCAAAGGTCTCTACGAGTCTTCTCTATCTCTTTGAGGTACTCTGCATCAACGTTCACTGCCATTGTCAAGATTTGAAGGAGCAAGCAAAATAACTCAGATCAATGAATAAGATTGAAGAATGACTCAGAAGGATGAATATATATAAATAGGATTGAAGAAGAGTCTAAAGGAGAAGAATGTTTTGTCATATGAGAAAGTAAAGTATTAATTATAGTTTTGGGAAAACCCTTTTGCTAATCTTCGCATATATTCAATTTTCATCTATGCAACTATATAGTTTATTGTAAAGTTGTAATTACCATCCCGTAGCTACCAGTTCTGGAACCAGGAGTCATAAACTATTTCCAAAGAAGATTCTACCTAACACTAAACTACCTTGGTTGTTGAAGATCAATTTGATTTAAATGATTTGGTTATTGTATTAACAAATAAAATCAAAGATAAGTTCTAGACATTTTCAGTGTTGAACAAGATATGACATTCTGATCCTTAAAAGATTACCCTTGCATCATTTGGACTGTACGCTATCACCACCTCCATCGAAACAGATCCATATCGAAACCTAGCAGCGGCGGCGGTAACATCGCCAATCAAAGGAGATAGATCGTTGAGAGCTGCGGCGGCGGCATCAAGACGGACGGTGGCTGTACGGATGTTGTTAAGACTATTTTGAAGGAGATTCACTTCCAGATCCGCTTGCTCCTTTAACGCCTTCAGCTGATCGATTCCAATCTTCTCCATCTCTCCTCTCGATGATGACGACGCCATTTTCTCTCTCTCTCTCTCTCACAGACTCACACAGCCGCGTCCTCGAGTCTGCGAATCGCTCAATCTCTTTTGGTCGAAAGCTTGGAGACGAAGTGTGTGGCCCGTTAAGTGGAGTGAAGCGTCAGAGTTGAAGTCCTCAAGGCCCATGTTGGCCCATTTGAGCCGTTTCTAACATTTTCGAGGCCTTAAATGATGATTAAAGAAAATAGTGTTTGTCATATTTTGATTAACATAAAAGATTTAATATCCATTTTCATTCAAATTTTATATTAATATTTTAAAAATTCCGCATTTAATCAGGTCATTTTTTTATTCTGACCCAAAATTGAGTCATTCGGATATTTCCTTAATTTTTAAATTTATCTAAAACGGGACAGTATATCACGGGTGAAATCCCTAAAATTAACAACTCAAAATACGATTATTTAGTATTTTAAGATAGAATTATAAATTGTTTTTTACGGGTTGGTCCAAAAACACACAGTAATTTATATATATTATGGTTACCATTTGAAAGCAAACTTTTAAATTGACTCGAATTATATATCTTTTAAATAAAATTGTTATTAAAAAATAACAAAATGTTGTTTAATTTCACAGGACGGGATTATATGGTGGACGGGTTTGGGTTGATATTAATACGGGACAATATACCACGGCTGAAATCCTAGAATTAACAAATCAAAATACAATTATACAATCTTAAACACTAACAAAATAAATATAATTTGAAAATTTTATTTTTTAGTTACAACGCATGTGATCCGCGATGTACAACAAAAAATATTATATACAACAAATTCATCAATTTATAAAAACATAAAAAATCAAATAATTAACCCGCGGTATACCGCGGGTCATATCCTAGTACAAGAACAAAAAAATGACAAAAAGCTCGAAACTTTTTTTACACACACAAAACCTATCCGTAGTGATGAAAAAAAAAAAAAAAAACCTATCCGTAGATGAACCACACATTCAGACGTAACAATAATCTATATTACCAGTAAAAGGCCGCGTAAACAACGAAGACACAAGTAATAGGCACCTATACTTAGAAAAAACCGCCATGGCCACCGGTTTAAGCTTCTTTAAGCTCTCCTTCCTCCTCAGCCTCCTCTCCGGCGGATCAGACCTATTAGCTCCCGATGCCGAATCCGGAGTCGCCCAAATCGGGAAGTTCCCACCGTCATGTAACCGAATCGAATGCCCGAGCTACGAGCTGGTTCACTCTGGAAATGGATACGAAATTCGCCGGTACAACACCACCGTCTGGGTTTCCACTGAACCGATTCCAGATATCTCTCTCGTTGATGCTACAAGAACCGCTTTTTTCCAGTAAGTGCAAATTGTGAAATTACGGTTTTAATCGGATAAAGATTGGATTTTTAATATTTTCTTGTGGTCAGATTGTTTGCATACATTCAGGGGAAGAACGAGTATCATCAGAAGATAGAAATGACTGCTCCGGTCATCTCTCAAGTCTCACCAAGCGATGGTCCCTTCTGTGAATCTTCCTTCACTGTATCCTTCTACGTTCCCAAAAAGAACCAGCCTGATCCAGCTCCCGCGGAGAATCTCCACATCCAGAAATGGAACCCTAGGTACGTGGCCGTGAGACAATTCAGCGGATTCGTCTCCGATGATAGCATTGGAGAAGAAGCGGCGGCGCTAGACTCAAGCCTCAAAGGTACGCCTTGGGCTAATGCAATAGAGAAAAGCAAAGAAGACGGTGGTGTTGGGTCGGATTCAGCTTACACGGTGGCTCAGTATAACTCACCCTTCGAGTTCACGGGTCGGGTCAATGAGATTTGGTTACCGTTCGAGCTCGATGTTTAGTGAACCCTTTTTATATACACTTGAATAAAACAAAGAGGTTAATCTGTAAAGTGCAAACCTTTTTTCCGATACAAATTTATGCAGAAACAGAGATATAGAAACAGGGGAGGGAATTTTTGATGAAATGAGATTGAACATTTGCCCTGACACCAAAGACACAGATGATTAAAGACAAAAAAAATCTCAGGGCACTCGAGTTAAGTATCCCTAAAGAGATCTCTAAACATATTTAAAAATCAGGGAGGTTCAAAAACAGAATCCTCTCTAGTCTCTTCTACTTACTACCAGTAACTGTAAGTTCTATCCTGATCCTGACCATTGTTAAATTCTGGGTTAGTCTCGTAATTTACATACATACTCTGATCGTAATAATCATGGGACGGATACGGTGCTGGTGATGGACTTGGATATGGTGATGTTGATGAGTCCAGCACGACCGTGTTGTTGTGATTTGTTTCTTGCTCCACGAAATACCGGGTTTCCGGTTTGGTACCTGAGAACATTCTGCAAGCGACGGTATTATGTGGTGATGGCTCTACGTTGTTGAAAATGGCGAAAGGAGAAGAAGAGTCTACGACGTGGCAAACATCTGTGTAGTCTATAGTGCTGAAAGAGTCTCTGGTTGATTCTGTGGTGAAAGAAGCTTCGTCTGAGCTTGTGAAGAGAGACCATTCGCTTGATGATGACTCTGTGTTCTTGTGTTCCGCTCTCGGTTTGAAGCGGTTAACTGGTTTCCTCTGTTCCTTCATCTCGTTTCTTGGTTGCGAATGCTGAACCGGAGCTTTTCCGTTGTGCTCTCCTCTTTGAGGACGCGGATACGATCTGCAAAAATTGTACTTTCAGAATCCATGACCCCCGAATGCAGAAAAACCATTACAAGTTCCAAACCGGTATTTTATTTTATTACCTCATGTAGAACAACATATAAGCTCCTTCTGACATAACTTGAGTCATTGGTACTCGATGAATCTGCAGACAAAGAAATTTTCATATGTTCATAAACCGTTTGGCTTGTCGCATTAAGGAAGATGAGGATGAAAAAGTAGTTTACCTCGGAATCATCGATTCTGTACCAATTCCCTCTCAAATCTTTGACATAGGAAATGTAATGACCCGAGAAAGATGCGTTGAGAGTATCCAGGTGAACTATGACGGCGTAAAGCATATAAAGTGGAGGAACGTCTCCGGTTCTTGTCATGAAAGGAATCATGTCCAGCATTTCAGGAAAACTTATACATTTGTTTATTTTCCCGTATCTTCCTTCCTGCATACACAAGAGTTTTAAAAGTATTTTCAAAATTTTTTTTAAAGACAACAGTAACCGGAGTAAAAATCTGTAGTCATCTTAAAAAGTAATTGATACCTGGAATCGCTTAAGAACAATTGTGAGAATGTTTGGTGCTTCATGAATGCTCAATTCTTTCCTCGCTCTAACATATCCAGCGCACCTTTTTCAACACGTTTTGCACAAAATTACAATTTGAGTTTCACTACCACAAAGGACAAGTAATTTGGTGTTTGGATCTAACCTGCTACATCGATACATGTTTTCTCCGTCGAGATCTTCCGGTCTCGTAAACTGAGTCAAGGCATCTTGAAGAGATTCTACCCAACCGTATATCTCTAATGTGAGATCCATTATATTCTCGTATCTTTCTGATTCATGATCACACCTCAAGCATTTAACCTGGTTTTCAGAGAAAGACGGCATCAAAAACAATGAATATGTGTAAAGTCAAAGTAGAGATAGATCAAAGGAGAATTAAACACCTTTGAGCGGAGACGTCCACCAAACATATGTTGAACTAAGGTTGTCTCTTGCAGCCTTGGATCCACTTTAGTCTCACCTCCAAGTCTCTCCAAACAAATGGATTGCATAGAGGCAACTAAAAGCCTACATCAAAATCAAAAGAATATGGTAATTTCATGAGAAATCGACATAATCAGAGAAATATAATCACATTAAGTAGAAAGGATCCACATATATCTGAAAGGACTATGAAGAAAAACCTCAAGAACTCATGAGCATCTTCTTGACTCCCATCACCAATCTGACAATTTATACTTCGCATGTGTGAGAGAATTCTGCTAGCAGAAAGTGGACCTCCGGATTCTCTTAGCATCATTACATGTTGCTCAAGTTCACACATAAGGCACCAATCTTTCCCAGAACCTATAGCGAAAGAATAACATAGTTCAGTCAGACGTAGTTAACTAAATCTGCAAAAATTTATGCTACGAGATTAATTGGGAAAAAGCATTACATGATCTTGAATGTGATCGTCGAAGCAAATAAGCAACAAGTGGTTTTGTACATGTTAAGGACTGCAAGACAGCGTTTGCATAGCAACTGGAGAAGAAAGATGATAGTAAATTTAGATAGCATATACACCGGTAAGGACATTTATACAAAATGGATCTTCCTATTACAAAAGCAATTCTTATTTCTGCAGTTAAACAGAATGAAAAGAAGTAATTAAAACAATACCTGTTTCCACAATTTACAAGGCCCCTAGGTGATAAGTCAAACACTTCACACTGAAAGAATTTAAGAAATTCCTCGTATGGAAAAAGCATCTGAGACATAAGAATTATTGACTCAGAAAAGTAGAAAACTAAAGATACAAAATTGAATTAGTAAAGAGACGATAATATCACCAGGGAACTAACTTTCAGGTTCTTATGTCGATCATCATGCTTTGTAGAATTTCTTAAACCCATCATCTTCATTATTCCCATCGTTGAGGAGGTGCCATTGCTTTCTTCAGCGATGCCAGTATCCTTAGACCTAACAGTCTCTGGATTATAGATACAAACATGAGACACTCAACAAAAGAATTCTAAGGTCGAAGCAAAATATCAGAGACGCTCACTTGATACTGCAGCGACTTGCCCCTTCTTACTTGTCTCTGTGCATGACTGTTCGCCAGATTTGTTAACACCTGTTTTGGGCAGTGTAGCAGTTCTGGTCCCTATTTAATTCAATCCACATTAGAAGATGCACATATCAAACTGCATAAGCCTCAACTAGAGAAACTTTTATTAGCTTATGTTATGGTAATAGGCCTCACCGTTTACAGGTAATTGTGTGTTTGGACAACCAAAAGAGCTTCTTATTCCCAAATTGTTTTCGTGTTTGTGACTTTCCTGCATACCACTTACAAAAGGTTGTC